CTGAGAGGAGAATTTATAATCTCTTTCTGTCACATTTCATCAAATGTTACATTATAGATTATAACATTCTCGATGATATGATGGTATTTGCTCCTCATCTCAAAACATTTAGGACAGGAATGATCAACATTGTGAAGTATTTGGGGCTGAACAGTTGTTGAGGGTAAAAAACAAAGAAAAGAGCCTTTGTTAATAGGATAGGGCTACAGGGACTGCAGGACAGGAAAACTGTAAACAAGTTTTTGCAAAACAGCTGCTAGGATAATTATAAGGGACATAAGATTTGGTCTTACTACTTTTATATCATTAGAATCCATCATTATTTGTTTAGCCTTAAATATTATAACTATTAATTTTCTTCATCTGTTACTTGTTTCTTAGCCTATTGAGAAGCCCCGATGTCTGAACACATTTTATATTTGTCTTTAATGTTGTTTGAAGTTTTCCACTAGAACACTGTGTTTCCTAAGCTTTCCGGCGTGTGTCCTATTAACAAGGATTCCGTTGTGTATGAACTTTACCATGTCTGGTGGAACTTTAGGACTGAGGTGGTCTCTGGTTTGCATTAGTTGTTTTCTACTATTTTTTCCATTCTTTTTCTGTGTGAGCAAGGGACTTGTAATAAGGTGTTAACAGGCTACTGGTTGGTTTATTATTACTTATGATTTAAGGTGTTAAGACTTGAATATATTCACACACACATTCAAATAACATTAAGAATTTAGTTAAAACAGTCACAAGGCAATAAATGCAGAGTAAAAAATGAAACTCTGTCTAAATGTTACTTTTGTACTTAGGGTAGGTTTTCCTAGCTCTTTGTAATCTTGCTTAAATTACTAAGGCTGGGGTTTTCAAAATTGCTCATCTTTCATTTAGGCACCATAATAAATACTAGATTTTCAAAAGAGTCCAGCAAATTTAATGCCAATCTCTTTTGAAAATCTTGCCAAAAGTGTTACAATAGGATTTGCTGGATGTTGAGCTCTTTTGAAAATCTGGTTCCAATTATGGGTGCTGAGTATTTGAATATCTGGCCCTTAGGCCCAGATCCACAAAGGTACTTAGGCGCTTAAGACTCGGGTTTAGGTGCCTAAGTCCCATTCTCCACTGTGATCCAGAAAACTGCTGCTGAATGCTGTAGGTGCCTAACCTCCAGAGAGAGAGAGAGAGAGAGAGAGAGAGACTCTGTAGTCCAGGTGTTGGGTGACTCTAAGTCCAGTACCCCTACTCCAATCTCTCTTTCTTTATTTATGCACAGTAGAACAGATTCAACAGCAGTGGTTGAGAGAATATCCCGTAGTTCAGTGGTTAGAGCCCGCTCCTGAGAAATGGGAGACCCCTGTTTAAATTCTTTCTCCCGCTCTGGTAGAGAGAGAGGAATTGAACCTGAGTCACCCACATCCCAGGCAAGTGCGCTAATCACTGGGCTAAAAGTAATAAGGTGGCTGCCACCATAACCACCTATTAGTTCGCCAGACATTTTGTATGGTGCGACTCAGGCACCTAACTCATTCCTGTAGGAAGTGGCTTAGACGCCTAAGCTGTCTGACTTCAGGCACTGGGTTCCTATTTGTGCATCACTCAGGAAAGATAGGTGCCTCTTTGCAGCCCAGACTTAGTTGCCTATCTCTGAGAGAGGGGCGGGGCTTAGCACACACCCCTGTTATCTGCATCTCCTATTGGCTAGCTTAGGTGGATCGCCGCCTAGCATACTGGCTTTTGTGGATTGCATTCTTAGCTGCCCATCTCTTCCAGTTCATTGTATAGGCTCCTTGCCTGATTTGTGGATCATTCACAGTGTTGTTCCTGTGATTTTCCAAGACACACAAAAATTAGGCACTCAGCATGGCAACTCCTAAGTCTCTTTGGGGATCCCACCCTTAATCACTATAGCTGTATCTACTTAAGGTTTTTGTTTATATCTCCTGTCATTCCTTGTGCATCACCCTGAAGTAGCAACAGTGGGACACTGGCCCCCTTTTCTTTTGTTTCACCACTCTTTTACCTAGATCTCCCTGAAAAAGGAGGGAGGAAATCAGATGTGTGCTAAGAGTCTGCTAATATTTTCAGGGAAGAGATGATGACAGAAAGAAAGGAGTAAATGCTAGCTGAAGGGGTTAAGGAAACTAAGAAGGGATTTTTAAATATAACAGAGAACAAAGTAATACCAGTACTGGAAGTAATGTTGGCTTGTTAATAAATGTGGAAAGGAATTAAATTAATTATTAAAAAATGGTTGAGAGTCTAAGCTCCCTTTTAAAATCTATCTTCAACAAGCAAAATAAATGAAATAAGTGTGAACAATTAAAATTAAGGTAGACTTTATAAAATATATTTTGTCATTAATAAAATAATGAAATAAACATAATGAGAAAAATCATTAAATATTGCAAGATATGTTGAGTAAGAGTATCATAATTTAGCCCTAAACTTTATAGTATAAGAAATGGACAGCATTCGTTTTAAAGAACACCTCTCACCAAACAAATTTGACAACTTTTTTGACAGAATTTCTAAATTAGAGGATAACCTTAAGTTGTACCAAAGTAATAGCATATTTGTAATTTAACTAAGCATTCAGTAGAGTGGTCCATGAAATCTTATTCTCGGCATTAAATAAAATCAGCTGGATATGAACATTGTCACATCAGTTTGAAACTGGCCAAAGGATCATAAACAAATGTATCAAAGTTATAATATATGATAAATGCAAAGTATTAAACTAGAGAGAGGTGAGTTGGAAAGACTTGAATGATCTTCTGCTAGTCAAATTGTATTAACAGAATATATAATTCAATGAATTGTTACCTTTTTTTAAGCATTCACAGATTGTAGGCCTGGTTTGACATAAATAACTTGACATAAGTAACTTGCTAATTTCATAGTGGGCATAATTGGGAAAGTGAAAGGAAGGTTAAGTTGTCGTAACAAGCAGTCTTCTGGAATCAAGATGGCTAGCTAAGATCAGCAGAAACATCCTGGTATTAGGAAACAAACCTAAATGTAAATTAGAGGTCAGATTATGCATGAACAGCACATGGATAGAGCACACTGTACAGAGATAAGTTCCTACAAAATAACCAAGCCATGCCAAAACATATGATGCAATGTACAATAAGTGTAATGTAGTGTGTAAATGTATATAAAGGAAGAGGTTTTCTGTGTAACTTTGGATTTGTGGTATGCCCTCAACTCAGCGTGGCTTTGCTGTATGCCAAATAAAGATACCTGGGTGATGAAATCTGGAATCAAACTGAGTTTTTGGGAAGTCGAGTGGAAAGAGTTCTCAGAGGGAATCCCAACACAGACTTGGTATCACAAACAAACAAACATCAGTCTATAGAGTTTTTGTGAATTATCCAGTGCTGTTATTTAATACTCAAACTTCAGAATTGGTCACCCAAGTATTTTAATGTGTAAAATACATTAATTGTACTTAGAATATGTGTTTGCAAATAAGTACATGAATTTTATGTTGAATTTGTGTATATTATTGATTTATATGACCATTTTCAAAAGTTCACAAATGTATGAATGCTAAAGGGCTTGAGTACACTCAATCTGATCTGAAGCCATAGCATTCAAAAATAGTCATTATTTTTCCATTATTGAACTAGCTCTAGGAATCATTGATTTGTCCAATTTATTTAGTATCTTCATAGGTGATCTAGAGAAGGGATTAAACAGCATACCAATGACATTTGCGATTGATACTAAATTAGGAGGAGATGCAAAACCAGTAAGGAAAAAGAAATAATACAAATGGACCTAAAGAGACTGGATACAACATAGGAAGAAAATAACAAAATGAGATACATCTTGGAAAAATAATCCAAAACACATAAAGAGGGCGAAAGCTAGAAATCAGTAATGCTGAAAGAGAGTTTCTATAGGAGAAACACTGGACAACAAATTATGCCTCAAATAAAATTACATACAAGATGGTAGCAAAAAAGGCTGATGCAGTTTTGGGGTGCATATGCATAAGTATAAAATCATGAAGTGAAGAAATAAGGGTTTCCCTCTGTAATACTGCATTCCCTCTGTAATATTCCTTCTGTAATACTGGGCATCTCATTACCAGAAAGATATTGCCAACTTGGAGAAAATTCACAGAATAACAATTGTTCTGGAGCTAGAGGAAATCTGTGTTCCTGGCTAAGCCATGTGAAAGAATGGAAGAATGATGATAATCAACAAATATTTAAGATATTGAAGTAGCATATAACTAAATGTAATGGGATGATTTAAATGCAGGCAGAATATTCCATGGGATAGATAGTACTGTTTGTAACTGTATGACTTGGGTGGTTTCCAGAGTCACTGTAGATCAGGAGCCACAGAGGGGAATGTAGGGTGGACAGAGGAGACCAGCTATTTTATTAATTGTATAGGTTTTTACTTCCCACTGTAGATTAATTGTTTTTCTTTCCCCCAAAAGGACAAAACTGTTGAGGGAAGTGTCTGAGTGAAAGCAGCAATGAGGGGACGGTTAGACTAAGGATAGAGCAGCAAATCTTGGACTCATAATAAGAGCCACACAGACCCTCGCATTTTGGTGACAGTCTCTGAAAGACGCAGGCAGCAATACGCTCGTCTTCCGGATTATGAGGCGTGCAGGGCTGGACCCAGCAGGGGCAGGTCCCCGGGTTTCGAACGGCGCTGATGCTGGGGGACCCCCCCTACCCCCTATAGCCATGCTATAGACCTATCAGGAATCAGGATACAGTAGGTGCAGGAGGAGCATGAGGCTGACCATGCCCTAAGTGCTCCGGGCACACAGCAGACAGTCAGAGCTCTGCCCCCCTCTGCCTCCGCTGTCCTGCTCTGTCCAGCAGCTGCATATCCGCCAGCCAGGAGTCCGATCGTTAAATCGCCAGCGTCCCTTTAAGGGAATCGTCCCTCCCGCGAGAACTACACTCCCCATAATGCCAGCCGCCCGCCTTGAACTGCAGGCTTATTTCCGCCAGCGTAGGTCATATGATCGCTCCCCTCCCAAGATGGCGGACAATTTGCCCTCGGAGTTTGATGTGGTGGTGATAGGAACCGGTATGAGAGTCGCACCCTCGGGTCGGATCTGGGCTTTGGCGTGCAGCGCTCTGGGACGCGGGGGCAGAGCGGTGTGGGCGGGGCAGTAGAGGTGGGGGCTAGGCAGGGGGTCTCAAGGGCTGTGTGGAGCTATAGGGACGAGGTGGTGCCTGGGAGGCGGGAGCTGTGCTTGGAGGCTCGGCGGACTGAGGTCGGTGGCAGGAGACAGCTGTGCAGGCACGGTCGGAGGAGTTCAGGCTAAGGAGGAGGGAGGACTGGGTGCCAGGTCTGTACTTGTGGGGTGGGAATCAGAGCAACGAGGCTGAAGTAGGGGAGTTGAGCAGGTGGCGGGGGGGGGGGGGGGGGGAGGATGGAACAAGGTGAGAATTATACAGTATAGTGCTGGGACCAAGGACAGGTGCTGCTGCTAGGGAACAGAGATCAAGGGAATGAGGCTGTGGACATGTTGCTGAGGTAAAGATGGGACTGGGACTTTAATAAGGAGGTGGATAAGGAAATGGACTATGAATCTGAAGCGTGGGTTGGGGCCCAGGACTGGGAATCAAAGGGCATGAATTGTGCCTCGGAAGAGGAGAGCTGAAGTCTAGGTGCCAGAGCCAGGTATTCCTCTAGTACCTATAGCCTTTTTAGACTCTCATACACCTGTGACCAGACCTATACGAAGCCGTCTTCCTCCTGGTTGAGTTAAAATATTACCCTTAAGCCTTTAAAGCTTTTAAAAATTAAATCTTAGGTGACAGGACCTTCTTAGTTAGGTGGTAGATATTGACAATCTCTCTAAATTTCACTCACATAAACATAGTTGATGTTTTACTTTGGGGCAATTTAAGGTAGTTTTTAAATATCTGATTGAAACACAGCAAAATATTTACCAGGAAAACAAGCTGTTAAAATTTTCTCCTTTTGTATTCATTTTGAAGGGGATTTTCTGCCCAAATAACTGAACTGAGAGCAGGTGTGCTTAAATATTTGCTGTTTCATAGAACTCCATGGTGATATTGGCCTAGCTGAAACAGCTCTTATTATAGAAAATCTTAAACGATTGTGGTGATTCCTGTATTTTGTACAAAACTAAGATCATTCCCATCCCATATATCCTCTTTACTTGAGATTCACCAGCTTTTGAGCCCAATCCTGTAATCAAATCTGGCTGGGTGGATCCAAGCACCCTTGTGGAGCTTCACAGAGTCTGCTCTGACCCAAGCTCTTCAATCAGAACCCTCTATCTCTGTAATTTTTCTCTATTTTGAAGTAAGCAATCATGTTTGTTGTTTTTTATCGAGGAGAAGTGATTTAAATCAGAGAAATTGAAATCACTGATTTTTTTTTAAACAGTGATTTAAATCAGCCAGAAGGAAACTTTGATTTAGATCAGCTTTAATAAAGTTTTGCATTTGTACTTAATTATTTTCCTAATGAAAAGTTGACTCTCCTGGGTCGGTAACGTGTTGATTTGCAGTTAAATATAACCTTTATACTAAACTTGGTGCCTCTTTTTGCTAAAACAGGAGGATACACTATATCTATGCATATTTATTTAACCAAGTATATAGCTTGACTTACATCTATTCACATATTTTTTACATTTCTTACTATGTTAATGATCTTTTCTTATTTACTAGAATAATTTTTGACTTGCAATTTGTGTCATGTTCTTTGGATGGAAATTCAAATTCAATTAACAGCATAAAACATCATTTAAAAAATAAACTAATTTAAATGCTCTGGATAGGTTAAAAAAGTTTTATCAAAATATATTTTGTGTATTAAAACTGTTTATCTAAACTATTTAACTTAGTTAGTGAATTGAACCGAGAGTGACCAGAAACTGTGCCCTTCAGGATTTTAGAATTAGAAGATCTCATCCTCTCGCATCTAGTTTTTATTCATAAATTGGAAGAGAACAAGCTCTCCTCCTTTTTCAACTTCCAGTGGTTTCTTAACTTTAAATGAATTAATGATTGACCTGAACTAGTTGAATGAACTGAAATGAAGAAAATATTTTCTGCACCCGCAGAAGAGGCTATTGCTATTAAAAGCTGGTTTAGTACTTTAACAAATTCTGGTTCCAAGTGCTTAGCTAGTGACTTCCACCAGTTCAGGATTTCACTTTCTTTAAAACTTTGCAGCAAACACATACTCCTTAGTATTATTTTTATTTAATTTAAATTATTTTAATAGACCTTATATAAATTTAGGCCTTAACATAGGCTGTTCATTTCCAATTTAATTTTAATGGGGCTTATTTTTTAAAAAATAAGCCTATATTTAATTTAAATAAAAAAATCAGATTTAAAAAAAAATCCTTGTATCCATTCTGTTTGTATGAAATTATTGTGTGCTATTCAAATTAACTTGCAGTCTTCTGAACCTTTAAACTGGGGGTGTGAGAGAGACAGAGAGAGATTTGTATTGATAGACATACCTGACTGGCGCATTCTGGGAATACTTGCTGTTTAAAAGGTTTAGTCAAAAAACACATTCCTATTGTGTATGTATTATTGTTAAAAGATTTCTTAGTTAATATAGGGGCTAGCAAAAAATAGTAAAAGCTGGCTATTTTTCCATTGGTGAACATAACTGCTATTAAAGGTACCAAATCGAGATCCTTGGGTCAACCAAGAGACCTCTATGGGCTATTTGTGTAGCTCAGTAGCAGGATTGAGGCCCTAATGAAGAAACTGTAATAGTTTTCCTGGCCATTCAATTCTTGGTGGTCAGATAGTGTGAAGAAGAATGAGAGGGAATGGTAGTCAGGGTATATCAAAACTCCATTTGTTTCCTGTGAAAATTTAGTGATTAAAAAGCAGCCAAGCTTAATCATATTATTTGCATATCTGTGATGTATAAGCAATTTAAAAGAAAAATCCTTCCTGAAAGTCAAATCAGTGTTTGACCAAGTTAACCCATCTTGCCTCTCAGATACCAGAGTACTACTGATGGCGGTAGTACAGAGTATAAACTTATGATGGAGTTTTATTGCTTTTCATGGTCACATAACATAAAATACATGGAAAGCAATTGCCTCACTGCTTCAGATCAATTGTCTGTCTAAGCCAATGTCCTGTCTCCAGTGGCAGCCAGTACTTGGTGCTTCTGATGAAAATACCTTATAATTGCCAACTATGGAATAATCTTCCCATAGGGAAAGACTTCCTGACTCTACTAAGTTATTGACTGATTTATACTCTGAAGCCTAAGGGTTTCTCTCATTTTTCTTACTCTGTTGTGGCTAACTTACAGATACCTAATGTGCATGAATACAGCCAGTTGGATGCTATTTGCTTGTATACTTCAGGTATCTCCCTCACCCTTAGGTTAGGCCAGGGGTAGGCAGCCTATGGCACGCGTGCTGAAGGTGGCATGTGAGCTGATTTTCAGTGGCACTCACACTGCCCGGGTCCTGGCTACTGGTCTGGGGATCTCTGCATTTTAATTTAATTTTAAATGAAGCTTCTTAAACATTTTAAAAACCTTATTTACTTTACATACAACAATAGTTTAGTTATATATTATAGACTTATAGAAAGAGGCCTTCAAAAAACATTAAAATGTATTACTGGCACGTGAAACCTTAAAGCAGAGTGAATAAATGAAGACTCAGCACACCACTTCTGAAAGGTTGCTGACCCCTGGGTTAGGCACATGCAAGGATATGAGCACTATTGACTTTAAAAATCTCATAGTATAAATATATATTTTTTAAAAGAAATACATAGACTAAGTATCTGCCTAAATGATGTAGGTAGAAAAAATTGGTATATTAATAAAATTAAATTTGTAATTGTCTATATGTTCATAGTAAATAAAATTACATGCATAATCAATATTTCTGTACATATTCATTTTCCAAATGTTTTCCCATTCATCTCATGTTGCTGCAGAATTTCCAGTTTGTTAGTAAATTCACCTCTGCATATTTCCCTTTATGAAGAAAAGTGTTGCTGATAGTTTTAACCAATCAACTCTTCTTAGTTAGGTTACAAGTAGCAAGTTCTTTCCTCTCCGTCTGAGAAAGGCCAGAAAAATGTAAGAAGTCCAGAATGTTGTATAGCTCTGAAAAGTGCTTTCTAAAGCCTGGCATTGAAGGGGAAGTCTGTTTTTTCTGTTCTCAGATCCCGGAAGAGCAGGGTTATGACTTCAGGGAGCAGCTAGCTCCTGCCCATAAATCACAAGTTCCAGCCAGCCCTTCTGTAGTTCCCTCCACATCATCATGATGATCTCCCAAGCTTCATGCCATTTTCTCTTGTGACTCTGTGATGTTTCAGATAACTCAGGTTTCAGTAATTAAAATCAATTATGGCTGCTCACCATCACATTCTCATGTTTAACATAAAATCCCAATACACAGAAACAAGTATAAACCTTATGATTGACTTGCTGTACATGGCAAATAATTTGTTTTACAATTTGCCATGTCTAGACTGAAATGTTAAGGTGTCTCCATTTCTTTCACTTTTGGTTATACAAGGGAGATTATTTTGAATGCTGGAAATTATTAGAAGATGAAAACTGCCTGAGGACAGTACAGCTATATGACTGAGTAAATAGGGATTTTAATCTTTGTAATACCTTGATGTTGTGAAGGTTAATCTTTAGTAATTGATGTGCTCTAAGACAAAGGCTATGCCCTTTGGAGTTGTTAGTCCTTGCTGCATGGTAGTTAGTGATATAATAGATCTGCCATTAAGGAGGAGTTACTCTGTTCATCTTCTAAACTGAGGGTTTTTATTGGATCTTATCTATTTCAATTTATAAAAGAGCCTAAGCCATAGGCATTTATACAAAACTTAAAATAATCAAATACAGAAGTTTAGATATTACATAGGAATAGAATTTCATGGGGTTTTCAAAGCAAATCAAGGTCCTCTTATTTGCCTGTATATTTCTAGTGCCCAAAGACTCGAAGTAGGATTAGGGCCATAGTGTACTAGGCACCCTACAAACACATAGAGACTCAGTCCCTATCCTGAATAGTTTAGTCTAGCAAACAGATGGAG